GAAAGTTTTACACGGCCTATAATACATAAACATCCCTAACTACAAATACCCAAGCATTGCACAATTTTTGGGGTGGTCGTTCATTATGCCTCATATACATATCAATCCTTTGGTGGTGATTCAATTCTTTAATTCTTGAGATCCTGCAACCACATATTTGGGAAAACATCAACTCCTTAAATCCAATACATCTGACTTCCTTAACACCGTAAAGAAGATACTCTCTCAGTTGGGCATTGGGAGAGATAGACTACAAGCACAAGAAAAGCACAAGAATTATCTATTCTTGGAATTCCACTTGGAAGAGACAATTGGAAAACATCGGGAAGCTGGTGGAGTCAGTAGATCTTGGAGATTAAAGGAAGTAAATCGAGAAATCTAGTAGAGTTGGCTAGACGACATCTAACTGTAGAAGTCATTGTCTATATTAGAGGTAATTGGTTTGGTTCCACAGTTTTTACCCAATTACGATTTTCTCGTCATTATACTGGTGTTATTTACTGTTTTCATATTACAAATTGCGACAATTCAACTTAGGGTAATTAGACTATTTGATTAATCATTTAGAAACTATTAAAAAGTATCTTGTTGCTTTTAATAGAATAATTCTGCACGTAATGTCAAACTAAATTGGATAAGTAAACGACCTTACAAGTGGTATCAGAGACTAATCTCGATTCCTGATCTTGATTTATCTAGATAAGTAGTTCATTAACTGTCCCACCATAATTTGATGGCAGTAATTATACGTACTGAAAGTTAGGATGAGAGCTTTCCTTAAATCTATAGATGAATGGATATGGTTGAGTGTAGTTAATGGTTGGACTGCCCCTAGCACTATGGTCGACAATGTAGTAACTCCCACTCCTATTGCTAATTGGACTAAAATGTACTTAGATGAGTGCAATTGGAATAGTAAAGCCTTACATGCTCTATTTATGGCAGTATCCACGGAGGAGTTTGGGAGAGTGTCCATATGTGAGGTAGCCAAAGAGGTTTGGGATATTGTACAAACCACACATGAAGGAGCACATACATATTAACCACTAGGTTTGAAGAGATTAGGATGAAAGATGATGAAACTTTTGATGATTTCTATGCTAGCCTTAACGACATTGTCAATTCCAACTTCAACCTAGGTGAGAATTCCCGAGCCTTAAATCGTTAATAAAATCCTTAGATCTTTACCCGAGCATTTTAGGCCTAAAATCATGGCGATTGAAGAAAGTAAGGATGCAGATTCCATTAGAATTGAAGAGTTGGTAGGGTCGATTCAGACTTATGAGCTAACCTTAGCTAAACTTGCAAAGAATAGTCTTTGGCCTTAAAAACTGCTAGGGTTAATCGTGATGGATCTTCTAACTTAGATTCATCGAGTGAGAAAGAGTTAGCCTAACTTGCTAAAAAATTTCGTAAAATATTTAGGAAGAAGAAGCCTCTAGAGAAATATAGAGGTGTTCCCAGTGAATCTAGGAATAGATCTAAATCTGTTAGGTGTCACAAGTGTTACGATTTTGGGCATATGAGGAATGAGTGCCCTACTAGTAGTAAAAATTAGGATAAGGCTATGAATGCTACTCCCATTGATGAATTGTCTAGCTCTACTCGTGAGGAAAGTGGGAAATACTTTGCCTTTACTACTAGGACTAGGAGAGGATCTGATAAGGGAAGTGAGATGGATGAGGACATAGATAGTGATGAGCAATCTGGAGATGATTTTGAGAGTGAGGAAGATATCCATGAATAAAATGTATGAGGAGAGTCTTAAGATTCTAGCTACTAATAAAGCATTAAATTCAAAGGTAAATGAGCTTAGATTGGAGAAAGAAAAGTTATTGAACTACATCCAGGAATCTATCTCAACCTTAAGTGAATTAAAATCGATAAATGAATCTTTAGATACTCAGGTTAGGAATCTCACAAGTGAGCTTGAGAATTTCTCTATAAAAGTCAGTCAACTGATTGCTAACAATGAGACTTTGGAAATCCAGTTTAAGAACCCTATAAGCGATTTAGAGTATTCAAAGTCGCAACTGGTTGCCTTTTCTAGTGGTTCTAAAAAGCTAGATGACATTCTAAGAATGAGTAAGTCGACTGGCAATAGGGAAAATCTAGGTTTCAAAGAGAATACCGCTAGTACTTCAAAGACCACTTTAGTCCCTGCCACTGACTAGCCCAAATATATGCCTAACCCAGAACCTAACAATGAGGGATCTGTAGGACAAAGATTTACCATACAACGTAGGATCATCGATCTAGGAATAAACGTCAGCAATCATACAACATTAGCCCTAGGTTTAGTCCTACGTGCTTTCACTATTGTGAATAAGGACACACACGTCCTAGGTCTCATCAATTCCTAAATAGACATAGAAACAAGAGCTTAAATAGGAATAAAAATTAGGATTTTGATGGTCAAATTGGATTTCTTACTGATCAAGTAAGTCGTTTAACCTAGTTGATGACATGGTTGTCTGAAAATTGTTCTCCCACTAGGCACATTTGGATGAAGAAGAGTGATCTGCTAAACCGTGAAGTAGATCACGCTACTCTTAAAGGTAAAAGCACTAATATACCTAACTGATTAGGTAATTCTGACGCATGCTCATACTTTATTATTGTGTATCTTTGAATTGTGCATGCATCACATCTGTTTGTTTGTTTTTTAGGTAGTTGTTTCTTGCATGCGCGTCTTCATTTTGTTTGCATTGGCACATGAACATTTTGTTTTGTGTGCTTGGAGCATTCACGTTTTTAAATATAAAAATACAAAAAAAAAAAAAAAGGAAAATAGGATCTTTTCTACAGCATGATATATAACATTCTGAAAATTGTGTATTGTGACCATGTATGGGCTTAATGATGAGTTGTAGTATATTTTTCATTACTTGTATAAGTTGCTATGGGGTATTTAGTACATATGCCTTTCATGTACCATCTGCACTGCATACATTATGATATTGTAAGTGGGACTTAACCACGTGTGTGAGATTTGGGATGTCAGTCACTTGATAGTAAGGCGACTTTGAATAAGAATTGACCAAATTTGTTAGACCTAAACTCAAGTATATCCCCTCATAGTAAAAAGCTCAATATTTTATGTTCTTCTTCGGAGTCTATTTGACTCGAGTAATTAAGTCTGCAGGGTGTCCAAAACCTGGTGCCTATAGTCAATTGACTTGTGTTAATCGATCTAAAACTCGTAACAGGGATCATCTTAGTCACTTAATGGAGAAGGAGTTGCACTTAAGATGTAAAAATTGATGAGTTTTAAAAATATTGAAAAGTGTAAAAAATGTATGCTCAAAGTTAGAGAGAGAAAAGAAAAGATCAATATATACATGCAACATGAGCTTCAATTAAAGGTCCTAACGTGCTTAATGGTTTGAGTTTCACAAGTAGGAGAGGCGGTAATGTTTTGTATGTCTTTTCTCATAAAATTAAGATTTGGAGTCCTGCTTACAAATGATTAGTTACACTTTACACACATGGTTACTCATACAATTTATTCCATTCTAACTTGAAATAAGTGTGGGGAGGTTAACTAATTGTTAATTATGCTCTTGCTGCTGTCAATTGCATTTCGAGTTGCTGTATATTGATTTTGATATTCACCATTTCGTCATTTGTGACAAAAATGGAAAGAGATACATTGACATTAGCTTGCATTTATGTCTGGGGATCGTTGAAGAGAGACATAGATACATTTTGATACTGCATAAGAATGTTGAGAGTTTGCAGTAAGGTGGAAAATTTGCATTGCATTACATTCTATACCATAATGCATAGCTCTTTGAATTTTGATGTTTTGTGATGTTAATGTTTCAGATGGTGTTTTGACTGATATTAATGTCATGTTTCAAACTAGCATGTCTATTTATGATTATGTGCTTCAATTGTTACATTCCTATATCACGTGTTTTTACACTAGGTATTTAAGTTTTTGATTTCAGGTATAACAAGAAATGCAAGAGACAACACTTGAGTAGTTTAGATGGTTTATTTTACTGCCTTGACTTTATTGTATAATTTTCTCACAGAATGCCAAACAGGGAATTTGGCGATTCTGTGAATAAAAAGAGACTAAATTGAACATGTGTAAAAGTTAAGGAGTTAGGTGTAATTTTGTGTAGATGAGTTAGGTAAGTTAAGGTTCGCCTCTGGAATAAGGAAAGAAGAGATGTCGCAATGTCGCTAGCTGCCCGCCAAGACATTGCTCAAGCGATAAAAATAGAATGATCGTCCCTTACCTATTGCCCAGACTTCGCTCGAGCGAGAGTCTGTCGCTCCCTTTTCTTGAGAGTGTCGCTCAAGTGACGGTGTTACGAGGCCAACCTTAATTCGCAATTTTGGCAAGTTTTACACGATCTATAATACCTAAACATCTCTAACTATAAATACCCAAGCCTTGCACAATTTTTGGGGTGGTGGTTTATTGTGCCTCATATACATATCATATTCATATCAATCATTTGGTGATCTAAGACCCTGCTCAAACCTTGATTGAATCCTTTGATTTTTGAGATCCTACAACCACATATTTGGAAAATCCTTGAATCCAAAACACCTAACTTCATTAAGGAAGATACTCTCTTAGTTGAGCATTGGGAGAGGTGGATTGCAAGCACAGGAAAAGCACAAGAATTAAGTATTCTTGAAATTCCACTTGAAAGAGACAATTGGAGAAGATCGGGAAGCTGGTGGAATCAGTTCTTGGAGATTACAGGAAGTAGATTGGGAAGACTAGTAGAGTTGGCTAGACAGCATCTAACTGTAATAGTCATTATCTTTAGTGGAAGTAACTAGCTTGGTTCAAGAGTTTTTACTCAGTTGGGGTTTCTCCGTCATCATATTGGTGTTATTTACTGTTTTCGTATCACAAACTATAACAATTCAACTTAGGATAATTAGACTGTTTGACTAACGATCTAGACACTATTAAAAAGTGATTTGTTGCTTTTAATAGAATAATTCTGCATGTAGTATCAAATTGAATCGGATAAGTAAACAAACTTACACACTTAATTCAAATTATTACAAGATCATTATGTCTGTATTCAAAGTGTTCAATCCCAAAATACAGATCCTAGCATAAACTTTTCTTAGCCAACAAAAACAAGAATGAATAGAGCAACATTGGAACATCAATCTATGTGATGTTTGTTTTCTTTGGAGAATCATTGGATACTACATTTGAGTCACAAGTGATATAAGTAATACCTACTTGACCTTCGTGTAATCCAATCAGATCTCCCGCTGTAAATGACTCATTTTCACCAAAAACGATAGGTCTCCTCGAGTGTGAGTAAGCACAATACTCGAGTTCACGTACTTTCTCGACCTCCTCCATGAATCCACAAACAGCAACCCCAACTCCTTCACCTGGTCAGCAAACATAAATGTAAGTAAATAACAACAATAGAAGCATTTCCACAAAATACAAGAGAAAAGGTCACATAATCCAACACAAGATTCCCTTTTTACGTTGAAAAGGCCCATATCAATAATTACAATCTTATGCATGGATGGGATGAGAAAGTCATTTTTGTTATGCTACTAATACTTGTACTTGCTTCGCTATTTGTCCATGCTAGCTAAGCAAAACCCTCTAACTCCCTTGATTATACGAAAGTAATAGGAGCAAGAATTACCATGAGTCACTAGCAACAAGTTCTCCGAAGGATATTTATCAGCAAGAGCCTTGATGACCTCTCGATATCGAGCCCCAGCACCTTCCCGTGTCTCTTGCCATTTTGGCAACTACAATAATAGAAGCCACGCCACAATCAGTACACAAAAATTGTAACAAACATAATATAATCGAGCGATATAAGCTTGTTCTAAAAAAAATTAGGATAAAATTATGTATAATAGTCACCTGCTTGTGCAATTGTTCTGCAGCATGGTCAATGGTTCCAGCAGGTAAAACAGCTTCACATTGTGAAAGATTGAAATCGAAAACCCCATCTTTTGGAGCCACATTCGGTCTAATGGCAACCAAGTTCATCATCTCACACAATCCATATTCAATTGACACCTATAAAATAACACCAGCACAACATGCAATGGAATGGATTCTCAAAATCAGATAATTTTATCTCAAAAACTGTTAATATAATTGTTATAACTTAAAATTAAGTTTTAACCTTTCAACAATTAACCCATTTAATATTCAATTTTTATTTATTTAATAATCAATTTCACACAATTAAAACATCATAATTCATGTTATAACCTCTATTTTAATGACTTAATTGTGGGGGTTGATTTTACCTATAAAAGGAGGTGGATTTCTCATTGTTTTACTCAACAAAATCAAATACAATATACTCTCTAGTCTTTTCATACATCTCTCTTTTCATACTACTCTCTAGTCGTTTTATATTATCTTCTATTCTTCTTCTATAAAAATTTTGGCAATTGATAAATGCTCATTCAATTATCTCCATATGGTCGTGCCCATAGAAGGAGAGTCACATGTGTTTTATCTTGGAGCCGTGTAGTGCCGAAAGAACCCGCACGAAGGGGAAGCAACACGACTTTAGGACAGCGTCCTCGACGTGACTCCCAATGCTTGTTTTTCTAACCCTATTATTGTTGAATTTATGTTTATGTCATGTAATTGAATATGCTAATTTCTAAATTATCTATACACAAATCACCAATTTTCCCAACAATCTAAAGTCATGTTACGTGATTTGTGTGAATGAACTTCTTTTAGAAGACTATTTGATATAATTTTAGAATTGTAAGCTGGCAGCTTTTGGGATTGAATATTTTGCAAATATCTCGTACTGGGAAGGTCGGTTAGAAGTGAATGGAAAACTATGATATATTGGAATTTATTGGTAAAGGGGTCAATTTAACTCGCTCTCAAGAATTTCCAATGAAGAAATATACTAAGATGTGATCCCTTGTGCACATGTACTAAAGTGTCAAAATTGGCGTACACTTTTACTTTGGTCATAAGTGTAATGTATGGGTACTTGAAGTGATAAGAAGAGTTAATACTGTCTCTTAGCATATTCTACTTTATTGCCTTAAAGCATTAGGTGCGGACTTTTAGGTTTTACTTTATTTTGGAAAGGAAACACTTGATGATGCCTAAGTTGTTGGTCATTTTCTTTAGCATGTGATTTTTATAAAATTTTGAAGAAAAAACTTATTGAAAATCATAGATGAATTATTGTCCTAAATATTGTAACATAAACCAATTTTAATTTTCAATTTTCAATTTTAATTATCTTTTTAATACATAATTAAAACCTCGTAATTTATATTGTAACCCCTATGGTTTAAATGTTTCATTCCTTTAAGACATAGTGCAAATGTCTTAAATCTAGGAGGCAAAAATGTGATGAGAATGTGAATTTAATTTGGTAGTATTGGGTTTGTTGCTTCAATTTGATTCATTTTTGGCATGTTATCAAGTACATATAATATCTCACTTTGTCAATTTTGGTAGTTGGAATATCTAGGGTTGGACAAAACTCCCGAACAAAACCGACCGAACCGAACCCGAACCGAACAGAAGCGAACCCGACGGTTCTTCTCAAATTAAATACCCGAACGGGTATTTGAATCAAGAACCGACGGGTATGGTTCGATTCTCGATTCTAGGCCAAGACCCGAAGAACCGAATAAGAACCGAATCTCCGTAATTTTTTTAATTAATTTATTTTAAATAAGTAAAATTATTTTATTTTTTCTAATTAAATTTGTTAACTAGTTAATTTAGTTCAAACCATAGAATATGATTTTCTTATTTCTAATATTCAGTTCAAAATCGACCTAATCAAATTGACCTCAATTTTATCCAAATCTGTTATTCTACTGTAGTGTCGTTTCTACCGGAGAAAATTGAATTAAAGCTCTACAACATCTCTCTTAATTATTTTGAGCTCGCTATCTTTCTCTTTCTGTGATTTTAATAATCAAATTTATGAAGAATTCAGTAAAGAGAGACGTGAAACACATAAAATTGAACTACGTTATTTTGTAAGAGCTAATATTAAATATATCATTAATTAAATTAAAGTAACTTTGTATATATTAAAAAGTTTAATTATAATACGGAACCGAACCGGACCGAACCGAACCGAATGGAACCGAACCCGAACGGTTCCGTAATTAAATTTGGACCCGACGGTTCCACTTACTAAATATTCAAAAATTTCGGGTCGGTTCGGTTCTCGTTAGAATCGAACCGAATCGGACCATGTCCAGCCCTAGGAATATCTATTGTTGAAGTACTCTCGTTCTATATTTCTTAATTTTGAAACATTGACCTTTTGTTAAACTTTTAAACAAAGAAATTGATGAGATGAGTGTGTAGAAATATTTATGTGACCAATCAAATGGAGAAGATATAAACTCAAGGATCCTCTTCTATTCTAATGATTTAGGCTTGGTTGGTTGGTATTCTATTTCAATTGATTACTCCTATTTATCTGCATGCTAAGGATTCGTGTTTCTATATTTCTTAATTTTTATGGCAATCAAATGACATGGATAAAATAAAAGGACCAATAGTTTAACTAGTTATAAAATGTGAAATTATTCATGTCAATTATTGGTGTTGGGTTTAGAAATTAATATTACTAAATTTAGTAACAGAAAATTCTATAATACTATTTTGAAATTTACAATTACAAAATTGTGATGCCTTCTCTTATACAATTCATTTACTCTTTTTTGTTATTAAATATTAATGTTAACCATGTTATTATCCTAATTATAATTTCAATATGGAAAAGAAGTTCCAAAAGTGTTATTTAAAATTTTGATATATTTGTGCTAAATATTCATGATCATTGGTATCAACTTGATGGGCATGATGATTGTAATTAATAATTTAACATAGTCATTTACATACACGTCTCCTAGAATAATCTCATAAAAGGGCTCAGGAGTCTCCCTGAATTTTATGTGGTGTCAAAATTGGTTTTGGATTACTTCAAATGTAAAACAAGGGAAGGATGTAGAGAACTTTAAAGAAAAAATTCATAGCGTGATGACGAATAATTACCATGCATTTTCTTCTATTTGTTTAGACATATTGGTGATTATATGGTGTAAGAAAGAAAATATGGTATATTAATTCAAGATAAACTTCATAGTAAATGTATTATTTGACCTGCCACAAGGTGAGCTCTCTCTTAGCCAAATATCCTTGAAATGTGGGGGTATTAAAATTTCAAGTATATGTATTAGTCATAATTGCCATGAAATTGACATTTTGACCAAAGTGTTCAGGTTAAATCTGAAGATTGCAGGTGAAATACAAGAGTTGAACAGACGCATACGTTTGAACATGTTACGTGAAGTCAATTTCTAAATTTCATGTATTTATCTTATAATAATTAAATATGTGTTATTGATATCTTAGACATTTTAAGAAAACTTTGCAGGTGTGCAGATTGCAAGCGGAGAATAAAAGCTTGTAAATATTATGGTACCAAATTATTGTCCAAGTGGGACATAAAATAAATTATAGTCTAAAATGGACATATATAAATCATCGAGGGGGATGAGTTTAAGCCCATAAAGGAGTCACCTCCTGGAGTAACCCAACTTTTGTGATTGGAGATCCCATGAAGAAGGTTCAATGTGGTAGAAACAACCCGTACTGCGTGACTTGTAATATCACTACTTATATTGTGCTTATCCTTATGGTGATAGTGCTAATAATAATGTGATGTTAGGAAGGGTTTAACCCTGAATGAGTACCGAAGCGAGAATTCTCGTGAGGTGTGGGTCACACACACTCTTGGAGGACTCACCTATGTAAAAGTTGCCATGAGACCGTGGCTATGGGATTAGGCTATTCCCTAAATATTCTTATTATAATCAAGATTAGAGCGCATGGTCATTAAAAGTGCTACCCGTTATGAACTAGAGCCTAAATCGATACTGTGTGTAGAATAATTGAAATTTGATCAAAGGGGTCAAATTCAAGGCTTGGTCCATTATGATTCCCTCAAATGGAAATTGTTATCACTAAGTAAAGTTCAATTCCAAAAGACACCTACACCTATTGCACAGTATTATGTTGCCATTATTATATATTTTTTTAATTATTTTGAAAGTTTAAAACTTGTGGGGGATTGTTATAACTTAAAATTAAGCTTGAACCTTTCAACAATTAACCATTTAATTTTCAGTTTTTATTTATTTAATAATCATTTTTCACACAATTAAAATATCATAATTCATGTTATAACCTCTATTTTAATGACTTAATTGTGGGGGTTGATTTTACCTATAAAAGGAGGTGGATTTCTCATTGTTTTACACAACAAAATCAAATACAATATACTCTCTAGTCTTTTCATACATCTCCCTTTTCATACTACTCTTTAGACGTTTTATATTATCTTCTATTCTTCTTCTATAAAAATTCTTGCAATTGATAAAGGCTCGTTCAATTATCTCCATATGGTTGTGCCCATAGAAGGAGAACCACATAGATTTTATCTTAGAGTTGTGTAGTGCCAAAAGAATCTGCATGAAGGGGAGGCAATACGATTTTAGGACAACGTCCTCGACGTGACTTTCAAGGCTTGTTTTTCTAACCCTATTATTGTTTTATATTATTGTTGGATTTATGTTTGTGTCATGTAATTGATTATACTAATTTCTAAATTATCTATACACTAATCACCAATTTTCCCAACAATTATCAAATGTATTTATTTATTTTTAGAAGGACCGAAGAAGAGAACTTCCATTAAAAAATATGCAGCTTCATGATAGAGAAAGAGCAAAATTTTTATAGCCACGTTCTCTCATGTTTAAGTAGAATTCCTTTACAGCATCTTTGAACACTAGTACTAGAGAGATAAAAATACTATAAACAAGATTTTAATTTTTTTTTCTTATTTAGTACATTCACTTTATGAACTAATGTACACTTGGGCGTTCCCAACTATGTACAAGTAATTATACTTGCTCGTCCGAAGAAGCGACTGTTAATTTTCAATTTATAATTTGAGATTCAAGGTGTTTTCTTGTAAGTTGTAACTAACATTTTGAAGCAACTGTTGAGCTTTCAATATAGAAACTGAGGTTTAAGGTGTTTTCTTGCAGGTTGTAACTAACGTTTTGGTGCACCAGAACTAATATATATATAATATTGAAATTGACGCAGTAAGACTACATTAAGGAATTAATAAAATATGGTCTATCATTTTTGTTCTATGCCTTTGACGTTGTATAATCTAAAATACCCTTAATTTCAATACAAATACAGTGCATTCCTGGATTGTAATACGGGTGATATTTAAATGAAAACGCTTCCAAATGATTAGACGGCTTAGTTAAATTTTATTAATGATACAGTCTAATAATTCATGCAAACACGGAATATATATTATATTAATCAGTTGAAAGCTAACCTTAACTTTGGATGGATCAATAACGATGCCGTTGGAATTCAAATCATTGGGATCATCGCGGCATCCCTCGATGGCGCATAAAGCGAAGACAACTTCAGCGGCGGTCTGAAGACACCGGAGGAATGGGGAGACGAAGACCCGGTGGATAGGGAATCCGAGCTGGTTCCGGAGACTTTGACCCCTGCAATATGCCCGAATCTTTCCAGCTTCCACAAGCGGCGGATCCCACGGCCGCTCCGCCTTCGAAGTCCACAGAGGCTCGAAGTTGTCAATTCTATCGCCGTGCCTCATGACAACGACGTTCTGATAGAACTGTGATCCGTTTGTTAATTCTCCATGCAAGGAACCCATTGTTGGGTGATGAGTTTTCAGCAGTTTGATGCTGTGAAAAAATGCCCGAATCAAAAGATATATTTATATATACACATATATAGATAAGAGAGATACATATATAGAGAATTTAGTTGGACAATTCAATCCAGGAAGATCCTCAGCAATTGCGACGCATTTCCTTGTCAAATAACGCACTGCGTAACATTTATTGTCGTGTTGTGAAACACAGATATCCGGATTTATTATTATTATTATTATTATTATTATTATTTTTTTTTTTTTTATCAATAAGGTAATAAGGTATTTAAGTTTAATTTAAGGGTAATTAGCACAAAATGTCATTACTTTTCAATATTATACTGCAAAACTTTCTTATGTTTCATTTTTTGGCATTTTTATTCCCATTTTCACCTTTCATTGTGAAAAATGTTATTTTCATTCAATTTCCCAATAAAAAAATGTAAAATGACAAATATATCCTTCTATTTAAATAAAAACAAAAAAGAAAAGAAAAATTAAAAATCAAATTGCAATAATACTTCCTAACTTTTTAGAAAATTGCAAATAGGTTCAAATAAATTATTTTAAGGGTAATTAGCAAAAAACACCCATACCTTTCAATATTATTGTGCAAAAATCCATATCTTTCATTTTTATTTTTTTTTGGACATTTTCGTATAATATATTGAAAATAATAATTTTAATCCATTTTCTCAATTAAAAGTTGTAAAATGACGGATATATCCTCCTATTTAAATAAAAATAAATAAAGAAAAGAAAAAATAACGAACAAATTGCAATTATACTTCCAAAATTCTCAAAAAAATAAAAATAAATTTCAAATAAATAATTAAAAAAGAAAGTATTTTTTGAAAAATTTAGGAGTATAGTTGAAATTTGTTCTTTTTTTATTTTTTTATTATTGTTTTATTTAAATATGAGGGTATATTCGTTATTTTACAATTTTTAATTGAAAAATATGGATGAAAATTATGGCTTCTGCAATGAAATGTGAAAATAATGATAAAAATTTTAAGAAATAAAAGGTATGAACATTTTATATAATATATTTAAATGTATGGACATTTTGTACTAATTCCACTTTCAATAATTTATTTGGACTCATCTGTTGTTTTTAAAAAAGTTTTGCAGTATAATTGTAATTTGTTCTTTTCTTTTTTTATTTTATTTAAATGGGAAGGTATATTTGTCATTTTACATTTTTTTTATTGAGAAATTAGATGAAAATGTCATTTTTTACAATGAAATGTGAAAATAAAGATGAAAATATAAAAAAAAAAAAAAAATGAAAGGTAAGAACATTTTGCACAATATCATTGAAAGGTAAGAATATTCTGTGCTAATTACCCTTTAATTTAGACGTGGACAAATTTTTTATGAACTATTATATAAGGATTATTCAATTTGAAAGTCAAGGTCTTTATATGGACTTTTGGAGTCGGCTAAGCTTTCATTTTGAGCTAGCTTTCCATGTTAAAAAAGATAATTCTCCAAAGTAAAACAAAAATGGAAGAAAATTGATACATACTTTGCGATGACCTATGGCTCAATTTTCTATCACTAATGATTCAATCCCAAATCACCCGTGATTATCTCATATATTTAATGGTCAATGTACTACTATAGTTATCATATTTACTAGTTTAATTTAATGTAACACTGATTAGGCATATCCAAGTTAAAAAAGTTCTATAGAGATAATAATTTTACAATTATAAAGAAAATTAAACAAAGTGAAGTATTGACACAATGAGTGTGTTAAGGAAAAGAAAGTGAAACATATGATAACTAATACATAGAGAGTGTAAAAATTATAGATATATTGATCCATTTAGTTTATTTTATTTTTTTAAGTTTTGAGCAATTAAAATTCAATTTTCCTTTTTTATTTCTCGTTTATTTTTCATCGACTAAAATAGCAGCCAACGAAATTCCAACTATAGTCAGTGGAGTAATCGATTGTCTGTCTTGTAATGATAAAATTTCGTGGAAATTGAGTACGAAGAATGAGTCAAAATCGAGACAAATTCTAAAAAGCGGGGTAAGTAGATGCTTACAGGAAATTGTCCTATATTGTCGCCAAGCCATTTTTTCCAGACAGATGGAAGTCAAATAAGTGGTGCTGTCGTGTGCATTTAATCTACACCAACAAGACAACAAAACAAAATCTAAAATGTGCTGTCATCTTGACTAAGATGGGGGAAAATAGCAATAGTAGTCTCAACAATTTCTTCAAATAACAATTTGGTCCCTAATGTTTTCTTCTTCCTTTTTTTCTTGTGAAGATGCATCTAATTTACAATATGTAGTGCTTGTTTGAAAATTCTAAAAAGTAGAGATCAAAAGCGAATAATTAATTTTAATCACATATATCATGAAATTCACAATTTTTATTAATTTTTCAAACACACGTTTAAAATATATTAAAATTTTATCAAAAGTTTTGTGAACTAATACTATAGATTGTAAGGAATTATATACATGATAAAGAAAAAAGGTAATCATCTTTCAATAGGAGGGAGGCCCAGAGACGATTGGTAGGGTCCAGGAGTGGGTGATTAAGAGCCTGTTTGTGCTCAATTTTTTCGTTCAAAATGCATTTTGGAATAATATTTTGTTGAAGAATGTGTAGTAAAAAAATAGGAAAAATTTTGAATTTGCGTATGTTGTTATTTTATAGAAAAATGTATAGTAAAAAATAAGATAGAGAAAAATGTATTTTTGAAAAATAATGGGTACCAAACAAGGGCTAAAGATTTTCTACTCATAAAAGTTATAATGCAAGGGCATATTTTCTAATTATCTCATTTATAAAAATAAAAAAATAAAAAATAACTTTCGCTAGAGTGAGATTAAAAATTAGGTTACTAATATGCTAAAATGTTAGTCTTTCCACTTGTATTAGATCTTCATCTTATTCATTTCGGATTATGTGTCAAAATCTATCTCATACATATGTCCTTGTTAAATTATTATATCAACAACAATCAACTAGATTTTGAGAAAAATCTGATTTTAGATGAATATTCAGTCTACATTTATATCAATCATTTTCGAATGAGGAATACTATACGCAAAAATTGTGAGTGGTTCTCAAGTAATGTGACATTGAATGATAATGTCAATAAAGTATGTTTTATACTCAAACATTTAATTGGTCTTATCACTTCACCTAGGGCTGAACAACGAAATTACCAAACCACAAAATTGAACCGAAATCGTTGGTTTGATTCCATGTGGATCCGTCAGCGTCTACGTTTTGAGCCTGGTTTCGTTTAGGTTTCAATATTTGCAAATCGTTTATCTAAAAAATCTGAAAATAAGTTAGTCTAAATTTTATATGACCCATTTCAAATTTAACACATTTCAGTTAAAAAAAATACATTCATATTAGACATAATTCAATTGAAATCAATTCGACAATTTTACATCTCAATTAATTAGTTAAATTATATCCAAATACCCATTTGTCGGCAGAATTATGAATATAAAATCATTAAATTGGGTAAAGTGTTGAATAATTGCTGCTAAACCATATTCATCGATTTTTCATTCTAACTGAGCAGACAATTAAATCTAGATTTTAATTCAAACTTGCACATTTCATTTCCCTTTACTAATAATTTTCTTAAATTTGGCCTAAATTCAAGTCAGATTATCTAAATTCTTTTATTTTTTGGTAATCTTATTCTATGTTTTTATTGGTAATTATGTTGTTTTGTTCTAATAATTATCGAGCCTCCTTAAAGTAATTCGCTAATATTTGGATGGAATAGAAGCATTGAATGATTCACAAAAAGTCACACTAGCTAGGTATCATTGTATTTTATTCTTTTATTTATTTTCTTTTTTAGTTATTTTATATCATTTAACTATAATCAATGAATTCATGTACTACATTTTTATATTTATGAAGAGAATGAATCATGTATTACAATTCTAAATGGATGCCATTAGAATTGATTAAGAGTTTAAAAAATTTATATCGTGTTGTTGCATTATAATGATTATAATTATATAATTTTGATTTGTAATTTTTTTTAATAATACAACTTATGTTTTAACATGAAATTTTATACTAATATTGACGATTTAACTTATTTGATAAAAAAAAAATTCATTGTTAAACCGTGGTTTTAAATCGAATCAAAACCGAAAAAAATGGTTTGGAATGGTTTAGTTTAGAAATTGAAGTGGTTTGTTTTGGTTTGAAAATTTGTCTCAAACCATCCAAATCGAACCGTGTTCACCTACTACATACACGTCGTATCATATTGGGGAAAACTTTCTAATACTCCAAGAGTATGGAGTATTCAGTACTTTTTGAGATGTCAAACGTATCGAGCGGCTGATAGACTTAGCCGCTGACTCATAAAAATGCGTCTCGTGCCTCGCATGAATAGTGATTGTTAGGCCACTTTTCAAAGTTGAGTGACCATTGCGGTCACTGAACTTTGAAAAGTGGTCAGAACACCCACTTAATTTTTTCTCTATAAATACTTCTACCCATTTTCAAATTTTTTTAAACAACAATACAATATTCCAAGTTTTCAACAACTCTCTCTCTCTCACACATTCTCTTCAACAATTCTATAATTTACACATTTATTTTTACAATTTTATCTTCAGTTTCAATTATTCAATATCAATTCATTCAATTATCATACTTCGAATTTACAATTACAAATTTACAATCTTACACGCATCAACTTTCTATACTCTTTACTTAGTTAAGTTTTTGTACTTACTATATCGCCCATACATTTTAGTTTCATTACAATTCACAAATACATCCACACTCATTTGTTGAGGGCTTGTTTGGTGTCAAAGGTGAATCACCTATGACGTCACAAAGTCAATTTCCGAATGATTTTTTCGGTCTAAATGAAGTATCCATTCCCAAAGATATTCCAAATTCGGCTACTCATGGAATCCAATTGATTTGGATGACGTTGATATTTCCAAAATGGAACAGGTGGAGAAACTTGAATTAGACATTTTCAATACAAGAGGGAAGCGATAGGAGAAAAAAGGCAAAATTTCAGGATCACTTTAAATTGATTTCAACGGGT